TATTTGCTGTATTGATGTATGTATATCATATATACATATATAATATATATAGATATAATCATTTGAATGTATGTGTGTATGGTATGTATGATGTGTGTGTATGTGGTATGTGTATGTATATATATATATTACTATATATAATCATCATACTATATATATATTACTATATTATATACACCACACACACACACCACGACACACACACACACACACACACATATATAATATGTATATATATGTGTGTGTGTGTGTGTGTGTGTTGGATGGAGACGATGTGTGTGGTGTGGATGTGGTGTTGTGTTGTGTGTTGTGTGTGTGTGTATTTGGTGTATGTATATAATATATATAATGAATATACAGTATATATATCATATATATAAATAATATATATAAATATATATATATAAATAACTCAAGTATAATATATAATATATATGATATAAATATATTATATATACATATACATACAAGATATATATAGTATACATAGATAAGTATATATATACATACTACATATATATTACATAAATATATGCATATATATATACATATATAGTTACATTATATAAAGATATATATACATTGTAAATATAGTATATAACCATAATATATACATGCTACAAATATATAATATATATATAATATATATATATCTATATACCTAGAAATATACAATAATTATAATATTATATATACTATATATACATATAATATACAGTATATATATACATATATATTACTATGTACAATATAATATATATATAGATATATAGTATATAAATATAATATATATATATTATATATATAATATATATATAATATATATACAATATATATATATACATTATATATAATACATATATATATATATAATATATATACATATAATATATACATATATATATACAGAAGATATATATAGTACATATAATATATACACAACAGTTAGATATATACATATATAATATACATATTATATACATTATATATATAAATAAGTATACGATATAAATAAGCAATAACATATATATATATATACATATACATATAAATATAGTACATATACATAATAATATACTATATATACATATATATATACAATAATACATATACTATATATACATATCACATGTAATAGTATGAATAGAATATGAGAGCAATTATACAATTATACTATACATATACATATATATATACATATATTATACATATATATTACATATATGTATACCAGTATATATATACATAGATCATCAGGATATACATTATATGCGTATACATATAGTAGTATACATATATATATACAATATATAATAACATATATATATACATATATATATATAACATAATTAATATATACATATATAGTAACACATATTATACATATATAGTATAGATACAAATATACATACAGTATTATATACATAAACATATACTATATATACAGCAGACATATTATAACATATAATACATATATATATACACAGTGATATACCATATATATATGACAATATACAGTACTATACATATATACATATACATATATGACATTATATACATTATATATTACATATAGCATATATACATAATATACATATATATATACAGTATCTATATATACATATATATATACATATATAACATATATATATAACATATACATAATATACATAATATACGTAATACATATATTACATATATACATATATATACATACTACATATATACAGCTATATATATACAGATATACATATATAAACAATATACAGTATAATTATACATAAATACATATATAACATATATACAGTACTATTACGTATACATATAGCATATATACATATGATAATATAGCATATATAACCGATATATACATATATATATACCATATACATTAGACATATAGAGTAATATAATTATACATATATAAGTATACATATACAGTATGTATACATATATATACATTATACATATATACACTATAAACATTATACATATATAACATGATATTATACAATACATTATATACATATATATAGCATAACATAGATACATATATATTACATATACATAGATATACCATATATTATATAACATATACATAGATAATACATATATATACCTTACCCATTATATAACATATATATAATGACATAGAGTAGATATATTATATATAGTATATAGCATATAATATATATACGTATAATATAGATAACATATATATACATAAAGAATATAATATACAGTATATATATAAACATACATATAGTATACATATATACTAATATACAGTATATATAGTACAACCACACATATATATATATACAATATATAATACACACACAGTATATATAATACACAGCACATATATATACACACATATTATATAAAACACCCTATTAACACACATATATATAACACACATATATATACACACATATACACAACACACACACCACATATATAATATTATAGTATATATTATATAGTAATATAATATATATATTTGTGTATATATATCTAAATATATAATATATAGTATGTGTGTGTGTGTGCTGTCGTGTTGTGTGCCGTGTGTGTGTGTGTGTGTGTGTGTGTGTGTGTGTGTGTGAGTGTGTGTGGTGTGTGGTGTATGTGTGTGTGTGTGTGTGTGCTGTGTGTGTGTGTGTGGTGTGTGTGTGTGGTGTGTGTGACATGTGTTATATATAATAAATATATAAAATATATATAATATAATAAAATATATATATAATATACATACCACAATATAATATAATATAATATTATATATATTATATTGATATATATACTATATATATATATATACACAAATATAAATATATATATATATACAATATATATATATATATATATATATATTAATATATTATATAATATAATATATCATATATATACATAATATATATATATATATATATACTATATATATATATATATATAATATAATATATAGTAATATATATATATATATATATTATATATATAATATATATATAGTATAATATATAAGACAAATAGTAGCGAGCGAAGAGAAGAGGAAGCACCTGCGGGGAGGGGAGGGAGGGGGGGGGGTTAGAGGGCCACATGGACGCATCCTCCAGGAAGACGCGTCCCATTATGCGGAGTCACTCTTTCTCTCTCTCGCCGAGGAATGCGGGGCACGGCGGCCCTCAGGTGTGCCACCGACTCACCTGCCCGCACTCACTCATGTAATGCCTGCCTGTCTGCCCGCTTCCTTCCTGTCCCTCCCCCCGCCCTCGGCCGCCCACTCCACTCCCAGCCCACTTTCTTGCGAGCGGCAGTTGTGTACATTGTGGCTGCGGGGGTACAAGGGGGTACAATGCGTCCGGAGTGCGTACGACCTCGCCTTCTTTATCCCCCTCTCCCCTCAAGCTATCTCGTCCTCTTGTCCGCTATTCATCCCGACCGACCGACGCGGGTCCATCCTCTCGGCTTCATTAGCAAGCGATGCTGGCTGGCGCTCGCACCCCTTCGCGTCTTACCCATCCACTCGTTGCTCACTCCCATCGCCCTCCCCTCCTCCCGTGCGTCCCCTGCCTCGTATCCTTCGCCCGTGCACCCGCCGTTGCTTCCCTTCCTTCCCCAGCCTCTCCAACACTCCTCCATCTCCCTCCCCTCCCGCGCGTCCCCCTGCCTCGTATCCTTCGCCCGTGCACTCCCGCCGTTGCTTCCCTTCCTTCCCCAGCCCTCTCCAACACTCCTTCTCGCCTTGCTCCAGATGCCCTACATTCACTTCCATTTTCTCATTCCGTTTCCCCGCATTCCTCTCCAGGCCCGCCCCTCCCGCCTCCTTCCCCGGAGCCCCCGCATATAAACACGGCACAAAACCTGCATCCACAACGCGCTCCTCCACACAAAGGGAACACAAACATCTAACGAGGCTCGCACGGCCTTCCACACCTCTCCGCCCGGCGCTCCCTCCCTCCCCTCCTCCCTCCCTCGACGCTTCCCTCGTCTCTCCCCTCGCACCTCTTCTGCCTCCACCTCTTACACTCCCCTCACCGCCCATTTCCATCCCTTCTCCCCTTCACATCTTCCCCTCCACAACTACTTTCTCACATCTTCCCTGCCCTTCCTTTCTTCCCTTCACTTCTCTCCCCCTCCTCCTCTCCTCTTATCCTTTCACATCTCCCTTCCCATCCCCTTCCCCCTCCCCTACTACCCTTTCACATTTCCCGCCCTCTCTCCTATTACCTCTTCACATTCCCCAACCTCCTCTGCTGTTTCCCTTCACATTTACTCTCCATCCCTGATCTCAAGTGCATGCCTCCCTCCCCTATTTTTAAAAAATCTTACTCCCCATTCCCACTTTCCCTTCCCTATTGCCCCTTCATATCTCCCCCTTCCCTCCTCCCTTTAACTCCCCTCCCCTATTTCACCTCCGCGTCTCCCCCCTCCCTTCTCTATTTCATTTTCATTTCCCCTCCCGTCCCATCTCCTATTTACGCCTCCACGTTTACCCCTTAGCCTCCCTTCTCCTATTACCCCTTCACGTCTTCACTCCCCATCTTATCTCCCCCTCCCCTTCGCATCCTCTCCCCTATTGGCCCTTCACACCTCACCTCCCATCCCTTCTCCTCCGTCACCCTCACAATCTACCCTCCTTCACAGTCCACTCACCCCCAACCCTTCACCCCCCTCACGCGCCTGGGCACCTCGAGCCGCCCTTCTTCCACGCTCGCAGCTTCTTGGCCAATGCCCCCCCCCCCCCGTCTCCCCAGAGCGTAAATGCCTTTCGAGTGAGAGTTCGTGCGGCCGCGTCGAGGGCCACTGCTCGCCCTCCCCGCTTCTCTCCTCCTCCTCCTCCTCGGCCTGGGACGCTTTCCAGGCGCTCCCCCGCGACTGCTCCTTCGCCCCGATGCAGCCGTCCCCTCGCCCCTCCCTTGGGCTGTCCGTCTCCCCTCCCTCCTGCCCCTGCCTCCCTCGGTGCCCCCCGGCCCACACCAGCCCCGGCGACTCAC